TCAAATGCCTCCTTCAGCTCCTGCAGATGTCTGACATCAGGTACCTGTGTAAAAATGTCGTCAACATACCTGCAGTATATGGCCGGTTTCAAGTTCATGTCGACTAAGACTTTTTGCTCGATGGTACCCATGTAGAAGTTTGCAAACAGGACACCTAGGGGAGAACCCATGGCGACCCCATCTACTTGCTTATACATGTGCCCATCCGGGCTCAAGAAGGGTGCCTCTTTAGTACAAGCTTGGAGTAGTTTCCTCAGAATACTTTCTGGCATGTCAAGAGGAGTACAGGCTGGATCACGATACACTCTGTCGGCTATCATTCCGATTGTCTCGTCCACAGGTACGTTGGTAAACAGCGATTCTACGTCCAACGAGGCTCTTATCCCTGTGGCCCGTGCGCCCCGCAGTAAGTCCACAAATTCCTTTGGAGACTTCAGGCTGAAGGCGCAAGGAACATAAGGAGTCAGCAGGCCGTTGAGTCGCTTCGCCAGTCTGTACGTGGGTGTGGGTATCTGGCTAATGATTGGCCGAAGTGGGTTTCCAGGCTTGTGCGTCTTGACATTTCCATACGCATATCCAGGTTTATATTCCCCAATGATCTTTGGCAGGTGGAGTCCGGATTTCTTGGCGTTCACAAAACTGATCGAAACACCTCACTCAAATGTAGATATAAAATCAGGGAAACGCAAGTTCTAATCAGTTGTGTATTTGTGAAGTCTTTGAAAATGTAATAAGTTTTACGAAACGCGCCCGTGTCGCGTCAGACTAAAAATAAAAATGAATTTTGGAGAAGTGATTTTTGATTTACCTCCAACAGTGAAGCGTAATGTACGAAAGATTGAGAAAATTCGTGTTAGAATTATTAATCTTACTTTTTCGGTCATATTTAATAATATATATATATATATATATATATATATATATATATATATATATATATATATATATATATATATATATATATATATATATATATATATATATATATATATATATATATATATATATATATATATATATATATATATATATATATATATATATATATATATATATATATATATATATATAACGACTCAACGGCCTGCTGACTCCTTATGTTCCTTACGCCTTCAGCCTGAAGTCTCCAAAGGAATTTGTTGACTTACTGCGGGGCACACGGGCCACAGGGATAAGAGCCTCGTTGGACGTAGAATCGCTGTTTACCAACGTACCTGTGGACGAGACAATCGGGATGATAGCCGACAGAGTGTATCGTGATCCAGCCTGTACTCCTCTTGACATACCCAAGAATATTCTAAGGAAACTACTCCAAGCTTGTACTAAAGAGGCACCCTTCTTGAGCCCGGATGGGCACATGTATAAGCAAGTAGATGGGGTCGCCATGGGTTCTCCCCTAGGTGTCCTGTTTGCAAACTTCTACATGGGTACCATCGAGCAAAAAGTCTTAGTCGACATGAACTTGAAACCGGCCATATACTGCAGGTATGTTGACGACATTTTTACACAGGTACCTGATGTCAGACATCTGCAGGAGCTGAAGGAGGCATTTGAGCAGAGTTCCGTGCTGCGTTTCACTTACGAGATGGAAAAGGATGGGAAGCTGCCCTTTCTAGATGTAACAGTCATGGAAAAGAGCGGAGGTTTCCACACTGCAGTCTACACTAAGGAAACGAACATAGGAATGTGCCTAAATGCCAACAGCGACTGCCCAGACAGGTACAAGAGGAGTGCTGTTAACGCATATGTCGACCGTGCTCTAAGCCACAGCTCAGAATGGAAGCAAGTCGACGAAGAACTCTGTAGGGTAAGGCAGGTCCTAGTCAACAACGGCTTCTCCAATTGTTTCGTCGAAGACATCATAAGAAGGAAAGTGAAACGCCATGCAACCTCTGAAGAGACAACTAACACAACACCTATACCCCCTATTAGACTATTTTAAAGGAACTTCTTTTCCACAGCTCATAAAACAGAGGAAAGGGTCCTGAAAGATATTGTTAATAGAAACGTTATCCCTACAGACAAAAATCAGAGGATACAACTGACGATTTACTATAAAACCAGAAAAACGGCCAGCCTACTCATGAGAAACTCTCCAGACACAAAACAGAATGCTTTAAAAGAGACCAACGTCGTCTATGCCTTCAAATGCCCACTTGGGGACTGTAAGCTCCAAAAAACCCAGTATATAGGCAAGACAACAACATCTCTTTCTAGGCGTTTAACGATGCATAAACAACAGGGCTCCATTAAGGAACATATAATCTCTTCCCACAACCAAATCATCGCCAGAGAAATCCTAGTAAACAACACAGAAATCATCGATAGATACAGCGATAGCAGGCGGCTTGACGTTTGCGAGGCACTACACATTAAGAAGTTAACACCAGCAATCAACAGCCAATTAATGCACAACTATATTCTACCCACCTCAAGACTCCGCTCCAAAATAGAAGCATCAAGAAATATGGACCAATAGGCTTTCTACAATCACTTCCATTTCAAAACCCATTGTTTCGTGTTCTGTCTTGTGTTGATGAAATTAATACCCTATTAATGCCACCTCTTGTTCTGTCTTGTGTTGATGAAATTAATACCCTATTAATGCCACCTCACCCCATCCACCTCACTCAAATGTAGATATAAACAAAATCGGAGATGCGTAAGTTCTATTCAGTTGTGTATTTGTAAACTAAAGTCTTTGAAAATGTAATAAGTTTTACGAAAGGCGCTCGTGTCGCGTCAGACTAGAAATAAAAATGAATTTTGGAGAATTGATTTTTGAATTACCTCCAACAGTGAAACGAAGTGTACGAAAAATTGAGAAAATTCGTGTTAGAATTATTAATCTTACTTTTTCGGTCATATTTAATAATATATATGTATATATATATATATATATATATATATATATATATATATATATATATATATATATATATATATATATATATATATATATATATATATATATATATATGCGAACAAGCCTGAATGGTCCCCAGGACAATATGCAACTGAAAACTCACACCCCAGAAGTGACTCGAACCCATAATCCCAGGAGCAACGCAACTGGTATGTACAAGACGCCTTAATCCACTTGACCATCACGACCGGACATAATGAGGTGATAGCCGAGGCTATTTGAACCACCCCACCGCCGGCACTCGGATAGTAATCTTGGGCATAGCATTTTACCAAATCACCTCATTCTTTGGGGCACACGTGAGGAACACAAATGCGAACAAGCCTGAATGGTCCCCAGGACAATATGCAACTGAAAACTCACACCCCAGAAGTGACTCGAACCCATACTCCCAGGAGCAACGCAACTGGTATGTACAAGACGCCTTAATCCACTTGACCATCACGACCGGACATAATGAGGTGACAGCCGAGGCTATTTGAACCACCCCACCGCCGGCACTCGGATAGTAATCTTGGGCATAGCATTTTACCAAATCACCACATTCTTTGGGGCACACATGAGGAACACAAATGCGAACAAGCCTGAATGGTCCCCAGGACAATATGCAACTGAAAACTCACACCCCAGAAGTGACTCGAACCCATACTCCCAGGAGCAACGCAACTGGTATGTACAAGACGCCTTAATCCACTTGACCATCACGACCGGACATAATTATGTCCGGTCGTGATGGTCAAGTGGATTAAGGCGTCTTGTACATACCAGTTGCGTTGCTCCTGGGAGTTGCGTTGCTCCTGGGAGTATGGGTTCGAGTCACTTCTGGGGTGTGAGTTATCTGGAGTTATATATGGTATATTGATACCGTAGCCTATATCCCCAACGGCCCATATATGGTATAATATATATATATCATTACTTTGATATGATATATAATGGTCCCCATATAAATAAACTGAAAAGACCCAGGAGCACCCATGGAGTGACTGGAACCCAGACAGCCAGGAGCACTATGCAACTGGCGTATATGGTACCTTAACCACTTGACCAACTGTGACCGTACAAAAGACGTTGGTAGCCTAGGCTATATCCCCAACGGCCCATCAGCACTAGGTGGTAAGCTTGGGAATAGTTATTTCATTGAATCACCTTACTTTGAGGGGCCACGTGAGCAACACAAAAGTGATCAAGCTTAAATGGTCCCCAAGCCAATATGCAACAAAAAACTCCACACCCCAGAAGTGATTCGAACCCAGACATCCAGGAGCACTATGCATCTGGCGTACATGGTATCGTAACCACTTGTCCAATCGTAACCATACACCGAATTTTGTAGAAATTTCAAGCATAGAAAGCATATATAGCTAACACGAAGGATTCCTTCTTGATGAGACTCGCCAGCTGAATTTTTTGTTTATAATAAAATCGATTGTCTGTGTTGTGTCGTAAAGAAAAATTGAGTTATATACAGTCAATGTAAATTAAGCTACGATTGGTCGAGAGCGTCCTTAGCGCGACGAAGTTTACTTACGAAGATTTTCTTACTTAAATGCCTACCTGAATACTGACGTAGCCACTATGAAGATGCTAAATAAGAACGTTTGTAAGTACGTACGTAACTGCTTCGTGAATCTGGCTCCCGGTTACGGAAGGGTTCGTAGCTTGGCACCAGGCATGCGGGGATAGTCTTAACTCCCACCCGGATCATGGTGGGGTGCTCCTGACCCTAGAGTAGGGTAAGTCTTAACCTTTGCCTGAGCATAGTGTGGTGCTGTGGCCCAGGGCGAAGTAAGTCTTAACCACCTTCCAGAGAATGGTTTGGTGCCCCTGGCCCGAGAGCTTGGTAAGTCTTAACACCCACCCTGAACATGGTGTAGTGCTACTGGCCCCATATATGGGTACGTCTTAATCCCCGCCCAAAGCAAGATGCGGTGGTTCTGACCCAAGGGCAGAGTAAGTCTTAACCACTGCCTGGAGCATGCTATGATGCCCCTGGCCCCAGGGCGGGGTAAGCCTTAACCCACTGGCAGGAGCATGTGTAGTGCTCCTGGCCCAGGATTGGGTAAGACATAACCTAATCCCAGAGCATGGTGTGGGGCTCTTCCCTCAGAGCGGGGTAAGTCTTAACCCCCGCCCGGAGCATGGTGTGGTGCTCCTGGTTCAGGGCGGGGTAAGTCTTAACCCCCGCCCGGAGCATGGTGTGGTGCTCCTGGTCCAGGGCGGGGTAAGTCTTAACCCCCGCCCGGAGCATGGTATGGTGCTCCTGGTCCAGGGCGGGGTAAGTCTTAACCCCCGCCCGGAGCATGGTGTGGTGCTCCTGGTCCAGGGCGGGGTAAGTCTTAACCCCCGCCCGGAGCACGGTATGGTGCTCCTGGTCCAGGGCGGGGTAAGTCTTAACCCCCGCCCGGAGCATGGTGTGGTGCTCCTGGTCCAGGGCGGGGTAAGTCTTAACCCCCGCCCGGAGCACGGTATGGTGCTCCTGGTCCAGGGCGGGGTAAGTCTTAACCCCCGCCCAGAGCATGGTGTGGTGCTCCTGGTCCAGGGCGGGGTAAGTCTTAACCCCCGCCCGGAGCACGGTATGGTGCTCCTGGCCCAGGGCGGGGTAAGTCTTAACCCCCGCCCGGAGCACGGTATGGTGCTCCTGGCTCAGGGCGGGGTAAGTCTTAACCCCCGCCCGGAGCACGGTATGGTGCTCCTGGCCCAGGGCGGGGTAAGTCTTAACCCCCGCCCGGAGCATGGTGTGGTGCTCCTGGTCCAGGGCGGGGTAAGTCTTAACCCCCGCCCGGAGCACGGTATGGTGCTCCTGGCCCAGGGCGGGGTAAGTCTTAACCCCCGCCCGGAGCACGGTATGGTGCTCCTGGCCCAGGGCGGGGTAAGTCTTAACCCCCGCCCGGAGCACGGTATGGTGCTCCTGGCCCAGGGCGGGGTAAGTCTTAACCCCCGCCCGGAGCATGGTGTGGTGCTCCTGGCCTGTGACGGACCTCTGCGCCATCTATGATCCAGGTTCCGAATTAAATGGTTGAACCTCCCATTAATATCAGTTTCCCATCTTCTAGTCAGCTGTTCTGGTAGGTGTGAGTTAATGGTTACAGAGAGGGCTAGTGGAGCGCTGTGGACTTCACTGTTGGGGTGTGCTAGCCAGAGAGGGCTAGTGGAGCGCTGTGAACTTCACTGATGGGGTGTGCTAGCCAGAGAGGGCTAGTGGAGCGCTGTGGACTTCACTGTTGGGGTGTGCTAGCCAGAGAGGGCTAGTGGAGCGCTGTGGACTTCACTGTTAGTTTACTAGTCAGAAGGCTAGTGGAGCTTTGAGGACTTGACCGTTTGGGTGTGCTAACCAGAGGGCTAGTAGAGCTCTGGAAGACTTCACTGTTTGAGCGTACTAGCGAGTGGGCTTGTGGGGCGTTGAAGACATCGCTATAACTGCAGCTAGTGGGCTAGGGGCTAGTGTTGCGCTGAAGACCTCGCCAGAGGAATGTAAATAGTATCCGTCGTCTTTGCAGCTAGCTAGCTTGAGAGATAACGATGCTCTGGATAATCACTAGTAGTGAATTGTGTATAGTTGTGGTGGGAGATAATAAGAACGGTTAATTTTAAGTGCAATATAATTTCTTACCTGAAAGATTACACTACATTTCCACAATGGGATCTCTGACCTTGAGAATGATCGTAGAGTTTATAAGAACCCGGTTACGGAAGGGTTCGTAACATGGCCCCAGGGCCGGGGAAGTCTTAACCCCTGCCCGGAGCATGGTGTGGTGCTGTGGTCCAGGGTGAGGTAAATCTTAACCACCTCCCGGAGCATTGTGTGGTGTTCCTGGCCCAGGGAGGGATAAGTCTTAGCCCCCTGTTGGAAATCCTACACACATGTTAAGATACTATAGTTAGCCATTTCCGAATATAAGGAAAATGGGACATTCATTGTCATCACAGTTCGACCCATATTCACAACACGTATATATTAAACTCCATTTATTCTTTTAAACTAAAGTCTAGTGTTTAAACCTAATAAAAAAGTATTCGCTAGGACATTATAATTAGCAATAAAAATACACTACAAACTTTCTTGCTATTGTTACATAAACCTTGTCCTTAAGACAGAGGAGGAACCAACAGAGTATTGGAACGCAACCTCAGGGAAGGAGGCTGGCAGTCACGCTCTGGCTCAGACACACAAACAAAACAAAGATGGCTCCTCACGACAAGCACAACTTGTCAATGGATCCACAACGATCCGACCAACCCTCAATAACAAAGAGAAGAGCTTAGTTCCCGACTCCCATTACATCTTTTATTGGTAGTGATCACTATTAAATATAGGATAGGTAGTTGGTTAAGCTGCAGACGAAGCCCCACAACAAAGTGAGTAGTGTTTTACTCAGCACTACACACACACAAATAATTCATGTCAAACCTGTACTTTATATGTTAATGGAACCGTTATTAATCCCATTCTTTGGTAGGTAAGTTTGTGAGTTGAAGATAATGAGGTGAGCTGGGCAACATAACTTGTGATGTTCTTGCTTACCCTAGCTGTTCCACAGACGCCACCTGAGTGCCAGCCCCCATTTTACAACTGGACCACATGTAGCCACACTCTAACAGCTATCACACTGCCTAATCAGGCCATACCTACATCATGGCTAAGATCTCACATTTGTACTAACCCATGTTTACTATAAGATTGAGTAGTACTAACCATACTGTAGATTAATTACCACCATATATGGCATAATTTATATTATAATAAGGTAAATGTTTATAGCTTATTATATGACCACCCATTGTTGTATAAGGTGTAAACGTCCCTCCAACTATGTGCAGGTAAATTCTGGCGGCTGAATCAAATATACAGTCCACTTAGAATCATAATCATCAATATTGAAGTGATAAAAAATAGAAAATAAATGTTCACAAAGAATAAAAACAAATAATTGCTTGTTAGGATTATCCAACACCCCCACCCAGAGCACGGAGGGGTGCTCCTGGCCCAGGACGGGGTAACAACGACGACAACAACAAGCACTTCACTCTCGCATCACAACATCAACAACAACAACATCACTATAACAACACATCATCAACAAGAACATCAACAAAGGAACAACAACAACAACAACAAGAGCCAGCATGACACATTTGAGGTGGATTACCATGAACAAAACGGGAAAATTTTTCCGAGATATAATCTTACACATCACCTCAGGTGGTGTTGTTGACCCTTGTGGACGCCTGCTGGTAGATACTGGGGGAGGGTGGGGAGGGCCGGCGGTGGGGAGGGTCCGCGGTGGGGAGGGCCGGCGGTGGTGGAGGGTCGGCGGTGGTGGAGGGTCGGCGGTGGTGGAGGGTCGGCGGTGGTGGAGGGTCGGCGGTGGTGGAGGGTCGGCGGTGGGGAGGGTCGGCGGTGGGGAGGGTCCGCGGTGGGGAGGGTCCGCGGTGGGGAGGGTCCGCGGTGGGGAGGGTCGGCGGTGGGGAGGGTCCGCGGTGGGGAGGGTCCGCGGTGGGGAGGGTCGGCGGTGGGGAGGGTCGGCGGTGGGGAGGGTCGGCGGTGGGGAGGGCCGGCGGTGGGGAGGGTCCGCGGTGGGGAGGGTCCGCGGTGGGGAGGGTCCGCGGTGGGGAGGGTCCGCGGTGGGGAGGGTCGGCGGTGGGGAGGGTTCGCGGTGGGGAGGGCCGGCGGTGGGGAGGGTCCGCGGTGGGGAGGGTCGGCGGTGGGGAGGGTCGGCGGTGGGGAGGGCCGGCGGTGGGGAGGGCCGGCGGTGGGGAGGGCCGGCGGTGGGGAGTGCCGGCGGTGGGGAGGGTCCGCGGTGGGGAGGGTCCGCGGTGGGGAGGGTCCGCGGTGGGGAGGGTCGGCGGTGGGGAGGGTCCGCGGTGGGGAGGGTCGGCGGTGGGGAGGGTCGGCGGTGGGGAGGGTCGGCGGTGGGGAGGGCCGGCGGTGGGGAGGGTCCGCGGTGGGGAGGGTCCGCGGTGGGGAGGGTCCGCGGTGGGGAGGGTCCGCGGTGGGGAGGGTCCGCGGTGGGGAGGGTCCGCGGTGGGGAGGGTCGGCGGTGGGGAGGGTCCGCGGTGGGGAGGGCCGGCGGTGGGGAGGGTCGGCGGTGGGGAGGGCCGGCGGTGGGGAGGGCCGGCGGTGGGGAGGGTCCGCGGTGGGGAGGGTCGGCGGTGGGGAGGGTCGGCGGTGGGGAGGGTCGGCGGTGGGGAGGGCCGGCGGTGGGGAGGGTCGGCGGTGGGGAGGGCCGGCGGTGGGGAGTGCCGGCGGTGGGGAGGGTCCGCGGTGGGGAGGGTCCGCGGTGGGGAGGGCCCGCGGTGGGGAGGGCCGGCGGTGGGGAGGGTCGGCGGTGGGGAGGGTCCGCGGTGGGGAGGGTCGGCGGTGGGGAGGGTCGAGGGTGGGGAGGGGCGGCGGTGGGGAGGGTCCGCGGTGGGGAGGGCCGGCGGTGGGGAGGGCCGGCGGTGGGGAGGGCCGGCGGTGGGGAGGGCCGGCGGTGGGGAGGGCCCGCGGTGGGGAGGGCCGGCGGTGGGGAGGGCCGGCGGTGGGGAAGGCCGGCGGTGGGGAGGGTCGGCGGTGGGGAGGAGACAGGGTGGGAGGAGACAGGGTAGGAGGAGACAGGGTGGGAGGAGCCAGGGGTGGGAGGAGACAGGGTGGGAGGAGACAGGGGTGGGAGGAGACAGGGTGGGAGGAGACAGGGGTGGGAGGAGACAGGGTGGGAGGAGACAGGGTGGGAGGAGACAGGGTGGGAGGAGACAGGGTGGGAGGAGACAGGGGTAGGAGGAGACAGGGTGGGAGGAGACAGGGGTGGGAGGAGACAGGGGTGGGAGGAGACAGGGTGGGAGGAGACAGGGTGGGAGGAGACAGGGGTGGGAGGAGACAGGGTGGGAGGAGACAGGGGTGGGAGGAGACAGGGGTGGGAGGAGACAGGGGAGGGAGGAGACAGGGTGGGAGGAGACAGGGGTGGGAGGAGACAGGGGAGGGAGGAGACAGGGTGGGAGGAGACAGGGGTGGGAGGAGACAGGGGTGGGAGGAGACAGGGGTGGGAGGAGACAGGGGTAGGAGGAGACAGGGGTGGGAGGAGACAGGGGAGGGAGGAGACAGGGTGGGAGGAGACAGGGGTGGGAGGAGACAGGGGAGGGAGGAGACAGGGTGGGAGGAGACAGGGGAGGGAGGAGACAGGGTGGGAGGAGACAGGGGTGGGAGGAGACAGGGGTGGGAGGAGACAGGGGAGGGAGGAGACAGGGTGGGAGGAGACAGGGGAGGGAGGAGACAGGGTGGGAGGAGACAGGGGTGGGAGGAGACAGGGGTGGGAGGAGACAGGGTGTGAGGTGTATATAAGAAATGCTGCCTAGTTTTTTCCGACACTGTTGGCCACACCATCGTCAGCTGTTGTCTGCTGCTGCTGCTGCTGTTGTCTGCTGCTGCTGCTGCTGTTGTCTGCTGCTGCTGCTGCTGTTGTCTGCTGCTGCTGTCTGCCGCTGTTGTCTGCTGCTGTTGCTGCTGTCGGTCTCTGCTGCTGCCGTGGTCTGCTTGTCTGGTTCTCTCGTCGATACAGTTGTGAGGTAATTATACATGGCTTGTACACGATCAGTTGTCGGAGTATTTGGCCATATTCTACCCCCCCGCACTCACCATATTCTACCACCACCATATTCTACCACCACCATATTCTACCACCACCATATTCTACCACCACCATATTCTACCACCACCATATTCTACCACCACAATATTCTACCACCACCATATTCTGCCACCACCATATTCAACCACCACCATATTCTGCCACCACCATATTCTACCACCACCATATTCTACCACCACCATATTCTGCCACCACCATATTCTACCACCACCATATTCTACCACCACCATATTCTACCACCACCATATTCTACCACCACAATATTCTACCACCACAATATTCTACCACCACCATATTCTACCACCACCATATTCTACCACCACCATATTCTACCACCACCATATTCTACCACCACCATAATCTACCA